TGAAAAAATGAATGATCAACCCCTTTGGTTTACAGATAAGGACATGGAAGCCAGCAGCTACATCTAAATTCCCAAATCCCAGTTCTCCTCCTGAGATTCTGCAATGGCAATATTCATGCATTGTTGGATATCCATCCATGCTCCCTGGCTGGAGCAGGTGGGAGAGTTGGCCATGCCTTAACCTTGGGCAGCCCCAGGAAGCTGCTGGGGTATTAGGCTTTTAAGCGAAAACTTTTTTTTTTTTTTTTTTAAAGATGACCGGTAAGGGGATCTTAACCCTTGACTTGGTGTTGTCAGCACCACGCTCTCCCAAGTGAGCGAACCGGCCATCCCTATATGGGATCCGAACCCGTGGCCCTGGTGCTATCAGCACCACACTCTCCCGAGTGAGCCACAGGCCGGCCCTTAAGCGAAAACTTTAATATCACTTTAGACTTAGAGCTCAGGCTCATTCCCTAAGTTTTAGCTCCAGATCCACTGCTTGCTTCTTGAGCCTCGGTTTTGTCATCTGTAAAATGGGAACAATGCTAATAGTACCTACCTCATCAGGTAGCTATGAGGCTTACATGAAATGAGGCATTGAAATTGTTTAGAATGCAACATAGTAAGTCCTTAAGGATTGTTGACTGCTGATACAAGTTAAGTGCTGAGCCAGAGGAGAAAATACTCAGTTTCTTTCAAGCTTCTCTTAGGTGGATTCCAGCGAATTGGAGNAAACACGCACACACACACCTCTCAGACCACCTTATCACATGCACAGGCTTTGTTTGCCAACGTGGAATTTTCCTTCAAAGAGAAGGAGACCTTTTACAAGGTCATAGACTTATGTCCAAAGCCAGAGCCTAAGCAGAGGAGGCCACGTTAGAGGAGGGTCTTGACCTGAAGAGCAGTGAGTCTGGAGGGAAGAGCAATCTGAGGTGAGGAGGGGGGAGAAAAGATACTGGGGTGGCCCCAAGCATTGTCTAGGGGTCTCGATGGGCTTTTCCAGTGGAGCTGCCCCTGTACTGTGCTTGTGTGTATCTGTTGATGGGGAGGGGGGTGCAAATACCCGCCTCAAGCTTTACTATATACCATCACACTCAGACACCCCCTCCCCCAGCAAACTGTCTCCTCCTGTAATGGCATCTCCATGTTCCAGAGGCCCGGGTCAAAATCCCTGGACGTTTCTGTGCCTCCTGGCTTTCTCTCACATCCCAGGTCCATGCCATCAGCAAATCCAGTTGGCTCGACCTTTGATCTTCACAACAGATCCAGAACCTGACCACTCCTTGCCCTTGCCCTCCCTCCCTCCCTGCCACCCCCAGTCCCATCTGTCCTAGACTCTCACCTGACTGACAAGTCACCTTCTGACTGCCTCTCTTGTCCCTTCCCTTCTGCCTATTCTCCACCTAGCAGCTGAAGTGGGCTTTTTAAAACATAAGGCAGTTCACGTCATGCCCCTGCTCAAGACCGTCCACCAACTCCCCATCCCACTCAGAA